TTATTTAATCAATTGTTTTGAATTTAAGTGCCAAACATAAATAAAAAATTCTAATAGTTTCAGAACTCTCCACTAAGGGATTTCTGGCTCTGCCAGTTGAAAAAAGGAAGGTGCAATTGCTTAAAGTGACGGCTTTCGAAACTCACACGCAACATTGGCATTGTTTTTATAAAACAGCTACATTAGTCACATGAATTCAGGCATAGTGTTGATCATCGCACGCTGGATCTGTAATACACAAATGGAAATTTCCCAGTATAAACGTGGTATAGGCAGTTTTATACCAAAAAATTAACACATCACGTGCACAGTATTCATATTCTGTGTATTTTCTCCTCTTACAGTGCCACAAGTGTCATAGCGATGAGTTTTGGAGATCAAGTTTGTATACTGACATTTCCGAATATTTGTGGAAGAAATTATACAAAATTTATGAGTCAAAAAGCAATTATTTGACAGCATATAAATCTATTTAAAATTGTAATATCTTTATAGTGAATATGCAATGAATATACAGTATACACTTATTTCGCAGAGAAAATCTACATTATATATACATACATACATACATTTCTTTCCAATTCTTCAATTATATAAATATTAAACTTTCTACCTGATGATCAAACTCTTAATATAAGAATTTTATAAAGTATTTATAATTACCTGACTAGAAGGGAAGTATCCTCCATCGAGTCGTTGTGTATTCAACCAATTGACAATTGAGAGGGACGTTGACATATTTGTTAATTCCAGCTGAGTCAAAAGACTATACGAAGTAATTTCTATCGATTCAGTTTTTGAAGATTTAGCCCAATATCTTTGATTTAATTCTAATTAATATAATTGAAACAAAATTTAGTCCATAACTTCTGCATTTTATACTTAGTTTTTCACTTTATTTTTTAAATTTCTATCAATTTACCTTCATCGAATGTTGACATCTTCAGAAGTTTTTCGTTTGCTTGATGTTTATTTTGACTATTTGTTGCTGCGAGTGCGTAAGCAGTTAATGCCATAACATATGAATCATTTATAGATTCAAACTGCTTTTCCAAAAATGATTTCGCTTTCAGACGGGCATTATTTATATTCTATTAAACAAATAGTTAAATTTACACAATATATAACAGATTTCATTTCATTTTTAATGTGTGAATGAAGGGTAGTACCATACTCACTACTGAACTACATTTACATTGTTGCAGTACGGTTAGAACAAATGCAGTCATGGGGACTTTTCCGTCGCTTCCGTGCTTTAGAAACAATTTACTTTATTGCAAAATGTATGTAATATTTCAATTTTTTTTTCTGTAAATATCGTTAAAAATTCACCATTATATCTCTTCTTATAACAGGATAAGGATCCTCGAATGAGCCATCAGAGTTTTGATTAGAAATTATCCACTGCATTCCTTTGCAGATTACATTTTCGTCTACATAAATTAGTTTGCTGGCTTGACAAAATAGTTTCATAACAAATGATGTTAACCTACAAGAAATAATATTTACATACTAATTACTGTACAAATAAATATATTTCTGTTATTCTTTATGAGATATTGAGTCTAATTAATCTGATAACAAATGTTTCAGGTGTGAAAAAATTGGCAGAACAATTTCTATGTATAAGTTGTAATGGCTGAAGTTTGAATTGTTTGAATAATATAAAACCTGAGCGATTTACCTAAGAGTTGCATCCCAGGATGTCTTTCTGTGGAAAATAATCGTCTATTTAGTGTTAGGCTCGTGAAGAAAATACAGAAAACTTCACGTGGCCAGCCTGTCTTATGTCGTGAATATACTAAGAATTACTAGTGTTAGAGGCAGTGTTGCCATTCCTAGTACATTTGTACTTTTCTGATACATTTTGCCCTTTCCAGTAAATTGAAAGTATATTTAGATTTTTAGTAAATTTTCAGTACATTATAATATTTCAAGTACTATTTACGGTAAACATTAATATTTCACTCCTTAACAAAAAAACGAGAAAAAATTAGTTCAATAAAGTCTCACTAGTGTCACTGCTTGCTAATTTAAATTATCCAATCACAACATACAAATGGTGTGTGTCCGTCGACGTCAGCAACATATAGTTGCACGTGTAAACGGTCTTGACTCGGTGGTCTTCTTTCGCACGTTCAGTTGTCTGCACATTCTCATCAGGACCTTGACAAATGTTTTCATGCCACGTGGTCGAAACAGTTCAACTTCGTCAAACAAAAATAATGGACAGGTAAGGAAATCAATGATTTCAAACTTTTGTCGTCAATAATATTAAAATATCCGTTAAGTCACAATAAAATTATTACAGAAAATAGTTTTGAAATTGTACGAGTAAAAATATTATAAATACTTTTATATTATTTTCTACCACTATAATTTAATTCTTAAATTATGAACTTCAATTTTAGTAATCGTAGTAAAAGAAATAAGGGTTAATGTTACGTATGGTTCCAAAATGGCCGCGCTTCTGACTGTTCCAAGGTCTATACAAGAAGGTCAGGACACGCGTGATCTACTTCTTGAGCTGCCATTTTGGGGTTTTTTGAGTCGCATGTTTTAAG